AAGATCAGTATCGATATCGGTTATCGGCTACATGAGTTTTAAAATATCGGCATATCGGATATCGGCCAAAATCCCAATATCGTGCATTCCTAGTGTACATTTAAGGATATCAGGTTTTAGTTGATCAATTATCAAGTCTCAGGGGAATGATTGGGCTTCTTTTTTTAATTAAGTGAAATCTTAAGTAAAGAAGTAGACAAATGAGTCTAAAAATTCTATGTTATCACCTAAAAACATCTTAAAGGTTAATATTGGGTGATTCAATTTGTAATATCAGTTTTTTTGGAACTGAGGGGAAAAAAAGAGCGAAAAGTCTGGAAATGGGACGGCCATCGATGCTGTGATGTCATCAGTCTATAAACCTAAAATAAATTGAAGATATTTCTAAGTCAAGGTTTTAGCTTTGCTTTACTGAAATATCTGCTCTAGATTTAATCTAATTTAACAAAGTGCTTCATCTTTTTTCCTGAGAACTGATGAATTTATCACTAAGTCCTGAGACCTGAAACCTTTTATGTTCCTCAGTCCTGTTGTGGGCTTTTGTGTTCTTTTGGGTCAGCTGTGGTTCTGACCTTAGAACTCCCCCCTGTAGCCTTTATTTTCCTGCTTCTGTTTCTACTTATAAACTCTGATCCAAACAGAGGAAAAGTAAATTTATCTGTAAAAATGTGCTATCATCTTTAAGTGTTAGTCCTACTGGTTTGATGGGTTCTGATCCAGTCAGCTGTTTGTTCTCCTCCTAAATCAGAATATTTAAAGTTTGCATCCTTTTTTTGATAAACCTCCATGATCGGATCAGAACTCTGTGATCGATCTGATGCTGTGTGCAGCAGACCCATAAAACCACAGATAGGCGGTGATTTAGGAACCGATCAGGGCCCGGAGGAGCCGACAGTCGATCCATAAATGGACGGAGGAGGAGAGATTCAGAGGGAGCTGGGATCTCTTTAGCTCTAATTGTTTTTGCGCCGCTAATGGACCCTTAATGTCCATCCAGGGCCCGATGGTCTCGGTCCAGCATTACCTCAGTTTCCCATCATGCATCTGTGTGAGCCTAGAACATTCTGAGGGCGTGTTCCCGCAGAAGCAGACGGTGTTTGGGCCTGTGGACGCCATGCTGAACGTCGCTCCTGCTGCTCTAACGGATCCACGTTCTCTTTCAGTGGACAAAAACAAGCCCCGGGAGGCGCCAACGAAGCCCAGCAGCACCAGCCCCCAGATCACCACAGGAAACCAGCAGAACCCACAGCTGCCCCCACCAGAACCGGTACGTCCAGTTCCTGTCTTTTAAAACTCACTCATCAGTGTGCAGCTCTGCTTTTCATGAACGGACCTGCTCCAGAACGGAACCATTCTGCTGACCCGATCTGAAACCTGTGTTTTCTGTTCTTCTCCTCAGGTATCAGATGTACTAAATGCTAACACTCCAACATCACCAGCTCTCCCAGTACCGGCCCTCGATGGTTCTAACACTACACCTGGACCTGCTGGACCCGCCGGTCCAGGGCTCAAAGCCAGAACCGGGTCACGTTCCAGTCCCAAACACGGAGGCCGGCCTCAGCATGCATCCCGACCTGGTGTGGGTGGAACCGCAGCGCCTGTCACAACTAAACAGAACCAGAACAAGGAGCAGGTGGAGAGGAAGAACCAGGCCCTGGTCCAGCTGAGGAGGCTGCTGGTTCAGGGGAACCGGAAAGTGGAGGCGCTGGCTGCTGTCATCCAGCACCTGTTCTCTGAGGTACCAGGCTTAATTTCCTTACAGAACAGTTCCTCTGAAAACAGGCCAGAAAAAAGTTCTGGGCTGAAAATGGGAGGAAAAGCTGCCAAAGTCCAAAGAAATCCACTGAAAGTCTGAGGAACTGCTGAGAGAGAGAAGTTTACAAGAGTACAGGAAGTTCTGACTGGAGGAGTGAGAGACGATCAGCTTTAAGCTGCACTGATTTGGATGTAGGGAGTGAAGTTTGTTCCATTATTGTTGAAAACAAAGTACTCTGGAAAAGCAAAAAAAAAAAAAAGGTGTAAAAAAAAATGAAACGTTAAAAACATCCGAATTATTAAAGAGTTTTGATAGTAATTTTGCCCTTTTCTCAGATTTTGTTTTCAAAATATTTTTTTTTTGTAATTTATCTTTCAGATTTTACTTTTTTTCTCAAATTTTGTTAAAAAAAGAAAGAAATTAATTGATATTTTATCAATCTGCTCGTCAAAACCTGGGCATTTATTTGGGTTTAAAGAGAATGTGATCTGAAATACAGAAATAAAAAGAGTCTGTTAAATGTTAATAAAATAAAAAGAAATGATTAAAAACATAAAATCTTTAAACAAATGTAAATAAAATCAAAGAAACAGATGAGGTGCTTCATAACCATTTTAAATTAAAACGATTTTTCAAGATTAAATTCTATATGGCATGTTTCCATCTACAAAACATGCAAAAGTAATAATGGAACAAAATTCACCCCATAAGCTATGAAGAAGTTGCCGGTATAGTTCTCCTTTCCAGCTGAGGGTCGGTGTGCGGCACCAACTCTGCTGAGAGCAGAACAAACATTTGAATTTTCGCTACAGATGGTTTATTCCTCTTCTTCGTTGGTTCTCCAGGCCTTTTAAAAAACAATCCACCATCAGCTGATAATACCAGCAAACGTCTGATTAGCATGTTAGCTTCCGCTTGAAGCAGCCAAGCTGTTGCTCTCCTGTTAGATGTGATTGGATTCAGCCGCTTCCAATCAGACATGTTTGTAAAAGACCAGGGAACCCCTTCCTCCTGTTTGACTGCTCTTTGCGGCTGCAGAGATGAATGTGTTTGGGCTCGTTAAGCACAGGTTGCTCTCACCAGACTACAAGAGACTAAATGAGTGGAAACCATCAGTTTTCTGCTCCGTCTCCTCCCCGCCCTGCAGCACTTCTGAGCCAAAGAGGCAGCAGTCTGTAATTAAAGCATCAGTCTGTGATCGGACTGGTTTGAGGCTCCAGGGCAGCAGAAAAACAAACAGCTGAAATGTGAAGTGATGATGAAGGTGACACTGAGCTGAGATGTTCTGGGTAAAATACCTCCTGATCCAACCTTCATTCCATCACAGAGGCTTTCATCAAAGCTTTTTCTTTGGACTTTGACTGCTTTTCTGGTCCACTTCTGTTGCAAAAGACCTACTTTACTCTCAGTTCTTAGGTTGATTCAATTAAAAAGATTCCAAAGAGAACAGATCATCAGGAGAACCAGTTGCCTGCTAACCAGGGGAAAATGTGTTTTAATGACTCTGACCTAAAACTTCAGGGTTAGAAGCCTTCGCTGCTCAAGTATCTCAAATGGTTTTCATTTTCAAAATACTTTAAATGCATTTTGTTGGCTCCAGTTTTTAAATGGATCCGCAGGAGTCACAGAACACAGCAATGTTCTCTAGTTTTCCTGGAATCAGAACCACTTTAGCTGCCAATTCTGTTTTTGATAGGAACATAAACAGTTTGTAAAAACATGCTGCAAAAAGTGATCTTAAAATATAAAAAAAAAAAATCTTAAAACAAGTTCAATCTCCAGATCAGGGTTTGTCAAATAAAACAGTTAATCATCCTTTTTTTGTTTATTGGAGTAACTATGATTTATAAATAAAGCATCAGTCTTCATCTCGTCCTTTAGGCTTATAAAAAGGATAAAGTTCCAGATTTAAAATAGGTTTATTTTCCCCTTAATTTGAGCAAATAAATGAGATGATCTGCCAATGCAAGGAGTGTTTTCCCCTTAAACTAAGATGATGAGATACGATGCACTTTAAATTAGGGATGCACGATATTGGGATTTTGGCCGATATCCGATATGCCGATATTTTAAAACTCAT